CTAGTAGCCAACCAAGAGCAACCAGAGGAGCGCTATCCAGTAGAAATATAATGGGAGCCTCTTAATTCAATTTCAAATTTTCTAGTAGCTACATTTAAAAAGCAATAAGAAAGAGGTGAGATTAATGTAATATATATTTTAAACCGCAAATATACAAAAAAATTGTCAATTGAACATTAGTTAATATAAAAATTACCGAGATTATGTATATATATATTTAATCAAGTCTTCAAATTCCAGGGCATTTTATACTTAGAGTACGTGTTTTGCTTAATAGCTACAGGTGGCTGGCAGCTACCGCACAGGACAGCATAGTCCTTGAGGAAGGGGATCGTGTCCTGCTCTTCTGTACTCCCAGAGCAGGACACAGTGCCCAAGTCACATCAGGTGTCCTATAAACATGTATTTAATGAAGAATATCCCCCAACACCTACCTGAACTTGTCATGCTCCAGAGAACATGACAGATACAACTTTACCTCAAAGTCAGCATTTTAGACAATTTAGAGCAACTGGATTTGTGTCATTTTTAAAGGACACTTTAGTTAAATTTTTGTTGAACCTATGTTTGCCCCATTATTAGACTCTAATCCCAATAACAGCACCTCTCCCTGGAGCAGTGTTTTCCACTTTATTCACTTTTATCTGTTATCATTGACTTATTTATTTAATAATGTGCTAGCATTTAGGGGGGAAAGGAAGATTGTGTAGCAAAGATTCAATAAACCATGACCCCTTCTTACACGCCCTTTCCACCTAGCAGGGAATGTGGGCCATACATATACATTCTGAGAAAACCGATAATGAGTTAGCCCTGGTGAGACTGAAAGGTGTTTTGAACTGGGTTGTTTGCTGGCTGTGGCTATGAGAAGGTTCCTGGAAGCTTCTGCTCTTGCCTCCCTGGTGTTGGCCTTGAGCAATCACTGACTGCTCCCTGCTGTGAAAAACGATGTCAAGATCCTGATTGCCTGTCCAGCTGTTGAGGGGTGGGTGAGAAAATCCAAGCTGAAATCCTGCTGGAGTGGGAGGAGCTGGGGACTGCCCTAGTCATTGCTTCCTCCACCATCCCAGCTATCAGCGCTCCCTACGCTTCCTAGTGCTCCCACCCTGAAGCCCTGACCTGAAGTGGCACCCAAAGGGTAGTGACTGTGGTTTTGCACTGGCCTAGGACTCCAGCTGGCCCTCCTTTCTCTTTACACACATGACACTAACACAGATGGCCACTAATGGCCCAAAATAATGAGACCTTTAGGGAGTGCCACCACCACAAAAGAAAAACAGCAAACAGGACCATCTATGTCCTTGAAAGAAGTAGTAGAAAATATAGACCAGCCATTTAAAATGAGAATTAAAAGTGTACTTTAAAAGTGAAAAGCTACTATAATATGAAAAAAAAGAAAATACAGGAAAAACACTTAAAAGTTCTAGGTGTAAAAATATACATAATATCAAAGTAAAAGTCACACTAATGGGATAAATAGTGGGAGATATGCAACTGAAAAACAAAACAGAAAGTTGGAGGACTATACTGAGGAGCTAGCTCAGAACAAGAGAGGGAAGAATTGAGAACTCATCAATAGAAAAGTCAAGGGAAAAGGAGAAGAGAATTATCCAAATGTAGATTATATGAGTTTCACAAAGACAAAAAAAAAAATAGAGAGAGGAGAAAAATAGTTAAAGAAATCAAAAAGATGAATTCCCGGAAATAAAAGATGGAGATCCATAATGTCTTACAAAGAGAAGGAAAAACCCACTGTAGACACACTAGCAAAATTTAAAAATATCAAAGACAATGAGAAAATTCTAAAAGATTCCAGCATGAAAGACTGGCATGGGATTTTCTAACTGTGACACTGGATGCGAAAAAAAAGAAAAAGGGAATGATGTTATTTAGTATATTAAAGGGAAAAAAAACTTCCAATAGGATGTAATATACAGCTAAACTTTATTCAAAAGTGCTGGTATAATTTTTAAAAATTATCAAGCATACAAGGCTTTAGAAGGTTTGCTATGCAAATTCCCACATTTGAAATGTTTTGGAAGAAGAATTCTAATCAGAGAAAGCATTCTAGAAAGTTCCAAAAGATATGAGAAGTAATGTTGACCAGATACTTTGGTGAAGGAGAAAATATGTGAATAAATTTGAAAGCATGCTAAAGTTCTTATCCAGTCAGAGGGAAGATGGGGAAGGAATCAGTAACACTTAAAAAAATAAAAATAAAAATAAAGGCAACGGCGATTAAAAAAGGAAAATTGGCCGGGTGTGGTGGCTTACACCTGTAATTCTAGCACTTTGTGAGGCTGAGGCAGGCAGATTGGCTGGACTCAGGAGGACCAGCCTGGGTAACACAGTGAAATCCCGTCTAAAATACACACACACACACAAAAGGCCGGGCATGGCGCCATGCACCTGTAGTCCCAGCTACTTGGGAGGCTGAGGCAGGAGAATCGCTTGAACCTGGGAGGCGGAGGTTGCAGTGAGCCCAGATCATGTCACTACACTTCAGCCTGGCAACAGAGCGAGACTCCATCTCAAAAACAAACAAAAAACTTTAATAAATAGAAATATTGAAATAAATAAGGTATTACAAAAAAGCCCAAGTGTATCAATATTCACCATAAACACAATCAGAATGTGGCAAAGACAGTGCCATGTGCTCACCAAACCATTTTATCTTCCTGCACACGTAGCTAAAGTACATTTTTCCATCCCTGTGCGCCTATGTGAGGTCATTGTTTACTTCTTGCCAATGGAATGTGAACAGAGATGGCAAATAGTTTCTGGTCCAAAACCATGGAAAAAATGTGCCTTTCCCAGGTTCTCTCTCCTACCTGCAAAGCTGGAAGTTCATGAAGTGCTTTTCAATAACGGAGATGCAAAGTGGAGCTTAGCCACCTTGAGGCACGTTTTGGAAAAGAGCTACAGAGTGCCCAACCTGCCTTGAACTACATGTGGCTAAAAAACAAACCAATGTTTTGTTAAACCACTGAGGCTTCAGCGTTTGTCTCTTGCAGAAACAAGTTTGCTCACTTTGACTACCACATGAATTGAACCACAGGTTAGAAGACAGAGATCATCAGATTGAATCAGAAGCAAAAATCTATATTTATGACATTTCAAGGGCTACATCTAAAGCATAAGTACACAGGATGAGTAAAAACAAAAAAGCAGAAAAAGATACAGTGAACAAATACCCAAAGACAGCTGCAGAACTTATTACTAACAGACAAGACAGAGTAGGACAGAAAGATTGTCAGGACAAATTGGGAAAAGGCTCAGTTCACCAACACTGTAATCATTCCCAAGAGTAAACACCTTAATAACCTAAACGCATAGAGGGCAAGAGCTGATTTAAAAATTAGAAACAAGTTGAAAAACCTACAGTCACAGTTAGAGATTTAAATATACCATTCATAGGCCAGGAGTGGTGGTGCGTGCCTATAGTCCCAGCTACTTCGGGAGGCTGAGGCAGGAGGATCGCTTAAGCCCTGGTGTTTGAGGCTGCAGTGAGCCATGAGGCTACAGTTGCTCACTGCCCTCCAGCTTGAGCAACAGAGCAAGGCCCTGTCTCTAAAAAATAAATAAATAAATGCACCACTCGTAGTTATGTGTAGGTCAGTCCAAAGATAAAGAAAGCCATAATAAATTAGAATGACAAAATCCACATGCTTGATCCAATAAACATGTACATGTATAAAATTCTGCACCAAATTTATTAGAGCCCATGTGAAATATTTACATGTTTAAATATTTATTCACCACACTCCAAGTCATAAAGGATTATCATGTAATTAAGTTATAAGTTAATAACAAAAAACATACTTTAAAAAATCTATGTATGTTTTGAAATTTAAAAAAACACCCAATACTCGATTGTTATTAACCAAAGAAGCAACGTTCTTTATCATGAGTTTTTCATGACTTCCCCATCTATCATCTCATGGCTCCAGCTCCCACCTCGCTAGGGGAAAGATGAAGGTGGTGAGGGTCCTAACCAGGGCAGGACCAAAGCAGTGAAGACACTGTTCATTCATGCACAGATATCTCCTAGGCACCTATTATGTGCTACGCATTATGCTAGACACTGTGGAATAGAAACAAAAAACTAAGATTAGGGCTCCCCATAAGCTGTGCCATGCAAATCAATTACTAGCTGTCATTTGATTAATTTGAAGTCAGAAGCTGTGTCTGCCCCACTCAGAATAGGCATCCCTTGTTCATTGAGGAAAGAGCATTGGAGCAGGTTTTACCAGTCCACAGGCTACCCGAGAACCACTTAGGGAGCGTGCTGAAAACAGGTTCCCTGGCCCTCCCTTGGAAAGGCTAATCTAACCCATTAGGTCAAGAGGAAACTCAGGAATACGTATTATAACGACCCCCCCAGATGATTCTCATTTGGAACCAGAGACCCAGATGATTTCCTAGCTCCTTCCAAGTTGAAAATCATCGATTTCAATGGCCTAATTTGACATACGGCCTAATTTGGTTGGACTTATCTTTACTCAGATGTTAGCTTCACGTTGTTGTTGTTGTTGTTGTTTTAATATATATACTGGACTCAGTTCTCCCAGTGCCTCTTATTAGCCGAGCCCAACCAGAAGCCAAAGGCAAGGGTGATGCCGTCCTCCAGCCTGTGGCAACCTGGAGGAGGTGCCGGGTCCCGGAGGGACAGATGGAGAGGACCAGCAGCTCTGCCCTCCTCAGGAGTCCACGGAAGCTCCTTACACTTTGCTTTAGACCAAACATCTCCAACAGTTACGCATTTTTTCTTACACAATGAAATTAAATAACAATAAAAGAAAAATAAAATAACATTTTTGAAAGTTATTTAAACTTTTAAGAGGTTTTTATTCCATTGTGTATCCAGTGTTTTCCTTTTAAAGATTACTGATAAAGTTTATTTTACTTTCTAGCTCAAAATTTGTCCACAGAAACTTCTTGGGAAAGTAGGATTCCCTGCATCGCAGATGGACATAGAGAGAGGATTTGTTGGAGCTCAACTGCGCGGAGCTCTGACGGCCTTTTCCCTCCCTTCAGGGAGGGGGTCCCTTCTTGGAGGACGTGGTAACAGCTGGTCCAAGCCCCTCCCGTCCTCCAAATCTTCCTTTCGCTTCCGCTGGGGGCCCACTGAATCCTTCCACCTACTCACCCCGGCTCTTTCCGTCTTCACCCAGCAACAGATACATTCACTCAGAGAATTTCTGTGATTGGCTGAAGACAGCAGGGGTCGCCCCCATCCTCGGATCTGTTTTCTTCGTCTTCACCTCCGCCTTGTTCCTGTACTCCCCACACGGACTGAGACTGATTTGATTAAAGCACCAGAGTGTAATGGCCCTCAGAACAGGGCTGGTCCTGGGGTTCCACAGCCTGATGACCCTCCTGAGCCCGCAGGAGGCAGGGGCCACCAAGGGTGAGTGCAAGGGCGAGGCGGGTGCGGCGGGGAGCAGAAACTTAAGGAGTTGGGTTACATGAGGAGATGACATGGAGGATGCTTGTTCCTCTCCCTCTCTGGTTTATGAGCAACTTCCTTCACCAAGAGACACCCAATCCCCCTCACCTCTGTCACATCCACTCTGGACCTAAATGAAGGTGCAGCTCGGTCAGCTGCGCAGGTGTCCTCCTCAGCCTTTGCTCACATTCAGATTACCCCTCATTCTTTCCTACTCCCTGAAACCCAAACCTCCACCCAACAGATGCCAGCAAGCACCCTGATTTCTCTGCTACCCCTGGCCTGGAGTGTGGCCCATCAAGTCCAGTTCTGTTGCAGTGTTTATGCCCATGCCAGTAGTTAACTGTTTACCTGTCTTTGTTTATCGGGAGACATGAACTGGTTAGCGGGTCTACAGCTGGTTCATCTTTATTTATTTTATTTCCCTGGCCCACCATTGTGCTGGTTGCATGCTAGTTCCTCAGTAGCTGTTGCTCAAACAACTTCATAGAATTCTACAAGAATTAAAACTTAATCCCTAACTTCCAGAAAACTAGACAACAGTTATGGAAGAGACACACTCAGTCATAATACTCTGAGATGGAGGAGTTGGGACATGAACCTTGACTTCTGACTCTTCATCCAGTGCTCTTTGCAATGTCTTGAATTACCTCTTCCTATCCCCTTGGTCTCTGGGTCACTAACCTTAATTCTTACCCCTGCCAGCCGTGGCCTATTTCGCCTTACACCCACCTACACTGCATCTCTGTGCAGAGCTCCACTACTCTCCTGTCCTTAATCATTCCCCCTCATTCCATGCCCACAGTCCCACCAGCTCACAACACAGGGCAGACGACCACAGCCAAGATTTAAATTCTGGAACCCCAAGCATGATTGTAGGCAGCCCCTCCTCTTCCCATCCTGATAGGCCAGACCGCACTGTCTCTGTGGCGCCTGCAGCTTGCTGGGATGAGCCTCTTTCTTCCCGTCCTCTCCCTTCCCCTCTCCCAGGGCCAGCCCAGTGTCAGAACAGGACTGTGTCCCCCAACAGAACCCAGGACGGGGCCCAGGCTCAGGGACTCAACAATCACATATTGCAGATGAGACAGACACATTTTCTTCTCTCTCCTTGACCCTGAACTCACCAAATACAGCTGACCACATGGGCTCCTACGGACCCGCCTTCTACCAGTCTTACGGCGCCTCGGGCCAGTTCACCCATGAATTTGATGGGGAACAGCTGTTCTCTGTGGACCTGAAGAAAAGCGAGGCTGTGTGGCGTCTGCCTGAGTTTGGCGACTTTGCCCGCTTTGACCCGCAGGGTGGGCTGGCCGGCATTGCCGCGATCAAAGCCCATCTGGACGTCCTGGTGGAGCGCTCCAACCGCACCAGAGCCATCAACGGTACCAGCCCTCCCTCTGCCCACCCAGTCAGGTGAAAAGGTCCAGAGAAACTTCCTCCCAGTTCCTAGGCCCCCATCACTCTGGGGCGCACTCTCAGCGCCAGTGCCTGTCATGCCCTGTCCCTTTCTTTCCCAGGAGGCTCCAGGTCTTCCTAGACCCCTTTGGTATCCCTCTCCTTGAAGAATGACACCTCTCACCTGGACTCCCGCCCAGGGAACAGTCAGATATAGGACCTCCTGGCATCCCCACTCCCTCCCTAGTCTCCTCTCCCTCTGTTTTTCTCCTTTTCTGCCCCAGTGGATAGCATCCCAGAGCATCCCCTGCCCACAGATGGCTACGAAGGGGGAACGTCCCTTAATCCCAGTCCTAGTAAGGCCCTGGGATGAGGGATGAGCCTGTGGACTCAAGCCCCATTCCTCCTAGTGCCTCCACGGGTGACCGTGTTCCCCAAGTCTCGGGTGGAGCTGGGCGAGCCCAACATCCTCATCTGCGTCGTGGACAACATCTTCCCGCCTGTGATCAATATCACCTGGCTGCGCAACAGCCAAGCTGTCACTGAGGGAGTGGCCCAGACCAGCTTCTATTCCCAGCCTGACCATTTGTTCCGCAAGTTCCACTACCTGCCCTTCGTGCCCTCGGCCGAGGACGTCTATGACTGCCAGGTGGAGCACTGGGGCCTGGATGCGCCACTCCTCAGGCACTGGGGTATGGAGCCCCCTCCCCACACACCCTCCTGGCCCCAGGTTTCCTTTACTCTAGATTCCTTCCCTATACCACCAATTCCTTCCTTTCTCTCCCAGAGCTCCAGGTGCCTATTCCACCACCAGATGCCATGGAGACCCTGGTCTGTGCCCTGGGCCTGGCCATCGGCCTGGTGGGCTTCCTCGTGGGCACCATCCTCATCATCATGGGCACATATGTGTCCAGTGCCCCCAGGTGCAGAGGCCCCGGGAGTCTGGGGGAGGGGAGGAAAGTGGATGACTCTGAACAGGACATGGGCGGAGAATCAGAGATTCTGTCGCGGGGAAAGAGGTCAGGAAAGAAATGGGCATGGAAGAAAGAAGCAGAGGTGGGGTGAGAGAGTGAGGTTTTGGCAGGAGGTGGGCCCTCAGAGATAGGATCCCAGCATATTGAAATTGAGCAACATCGATTGTGTGGTTTCTGCTACTTTAGGTAACGATCCTTCTGAGAGAAATGACTTGTGGGAGACACCCTGCAGATCCTCGTGGATTTGTGACAGCTCCTACGTGCTCAGTGCGCTTTAAGTGCATCCTGCTGTGCTGACCTTGAGTGGGATCAACCTCTGTCCTACAAGTCCCCCCCTTTTTGGCCCCAGTACTCATGGCAGGGTTTGTGGGACACCTACTAGCTTCCCTTCCCTTTCAACACACACGCACATTCTCGCTCTACCCAAAGCTCTGGCTGGCAGCACCAAATGCTTTGGTGGTGTTTGCTCTGTGTCCTTTTTAGGCCTTGGCCAGTTCTCCCAGGGTTGAGGCATGTGGTGCTGGGGATTGGCAGCAGTCCTGGGGCCCGCAGGGTGTGTCTTGCTCCATTTGTCCCATTGTGTGTTACTTTGTGAATGAGCCGTTTCACATGGACTTCATGAAATTTGCCTCCTGAGTTCAGTTTTGCCCTGAAAGGGATGCAGATTATCCTGTTCCTCACGACCCCCTCAGCTAACAACCCCCTCAGCACTGGGACAGGACAGGCTCATGGGGACTCCACTCCTGCCTGGGTTTACTCTGTATGAAGAGACCATTGGTATCCTGTCATGATGTCATGTCCTTTTTCTACTTTCCCTAGAGTCCCATGCATGACAAAGAGAGGCCCAAGGCTTGGATAAGGTGGCCACTTCCCTCAGTGGGGTCAATCATGTTAGGTAGGAGGTGGTAGAGTCGGTGTGCAAGGTATCTGGTAAGAGGGGCGGTCCACCTAGACACTCTCTAAATATATGGCCTGGAAGATTTTAGTCTACTTTTCTGTGAACAAAATTTAAAATATACAAAGAGATAAGTCACCATACCACGTCGTTTATGTCAAGACCAAAATGAGCAGTACAGATTACGGCTTTCAAACCAGAATGCACATAAGAACTGCTTGGGATCCTTTTAAAAGTACAGGCATTGGCCTGGTGCAGTGGCTCACTCCTGTAATCCCAGCACTTTGGGAGGCCAAGGGGACAGGATCACTTGAGGCCAGGAGTTGGAAACCATCCTGGGCTACACAGAGAGACCCCATCTCTAAAAAGAAAGATTTAAAAATTAACCAGGCATCGTGGCTCGCACCTGTATTCCCAGCCACTCGGGAGGCTGAGGCTGGAGGAGTGCTTGAGTCCAGGAGTTCAAGGCTGCAGTGAGCCACGATTGCACCACTGCACTCCAGCCTAGGTGACACAGTGAGACCCTGTCTCTAAATAAATAAATAAAATATAAAAATAACAGGCATCACCCAGACCTACTGAATTAGAATCTCAGGGGTGCAAGGGGCAGCAACAGGGAGGCTGTCTTTTTTGAGACAGGGTCTCGTTCTGTCACCAGGCTGGAGTGCCATGGCATGATCTCGGCTCACTGCAACCTCAGCCTCCCGAGTTCAAGCAATTCTCCTGCCTCAGCCTCCTGAGTAGCTGGAACTACAGGTGCGCACCACCATGCCCAGCTAATTTTTGTATTTTAAGTAGAGATGGGGTTTCACCATGTTGGCCAGGATGGTCTCCATCTCCTGACCTCGTGATCCACCCTCCTTGACCTCCCAAAGTGCTGGAATTACAGGCATGAGCCACCACGCCTGGCTGAAGCTGTCATTTTTTAACAGGCTCTGGATGACTCTGATGCAGCCATCCTGGACCTAGGCTGCGGTCTGGTCACTGGGACACAGTGACATAATCAGGTGCCATGGGGGGTCATGGGAAAGGGGGATCTCTAAGGTCTGAGGTGGACCAGGAAGGCTTTCTGAAGAACCTGGGTCTGTTAGGGCATCAAAGCCAATCAAGGTACAAGTAAATAGGGACAAAATGAGGGTTTGAACTGTGAGCAGTTGGTCCTGGAAAAGAAAGAAACCGAGAGATGATGGGGACTCAGAGGGCTTCTTAAGAGAGAATAAGCTTAAACCAATGACTAGAAGACCCTGACGGAAGTGGAGGAGAATCATCTCAGGCAAATTTTTTGTGTGCCAGTAACAGAAACCCTCTTCGTGTGATCACATGCAAAGTATAGGATGTTTGCAATATAGCTGTGGGGAAGAGTGCAGGGCCCAAGGGTAGATTCTAGCCAGGCCTCCTAGGAACAGAACTGGGATCCGAAAAGCCTGGAGAAGCTACAGCTACCCCTCCAACACTCTCGGATCCACACGGTCTGTGTTCTCTAGACCCCCCTGCATGTTAGCGGTGTTCTCTCTCTGTGGACTGACTGTCCTTTTCAGTGAACACGTCCACCCGAAAGCTCCTGAGTTTATATCATCTCAGCCCTCACAACCCACAAAGGCTGTGTCTCCCAGTCACAGCTTTAAATTACCGGAAAAATAAATGACCGGCCAAACGTGGAGCAGGTGTCCATCCCAGCCTTGTGTAGTTAGAACAGGAGACAAGATCCCACACAAATGTGGCTGCCAAGCACCCAGCCCCGGGGCAAGGGGTCAAGTTCTTGTCAGAGAAAGAGGAATAAGTTGGTTCTCAGAAGACACCACAAGATACGTGTGTTCCCAACAGTCTCTGATCTCTGCGGATCTTTTGCTGAGCAGTTAACTTGATGCATCATTGGGGAGGTGTTTCTCTCATCTCCATCCTAAGGCTTAATAAAGTCATTAAAATTGTGTGCTTTTGACCAAAGAAATGTGTGGGGTTTTTTTTTGTTTTTTTTTTGTTTTTTGTTTTTGTTTGTTTTCACTGTTGCATATACTACCCTGAAGTCACTGGAACTTCTAGGAATAATTCCGGAGCCTTTAGATTTATGCGTCTGCGTGTATACTCACATTTGTTTCTAGTCTCAAGATACATAGTGTTTTATTTTAAAAAACAAATTGTGCTTCTGCAATCCTGATCTTTCACTCTGTTTTATAACAGACATCCAGTAGTCTCCTGTCCTTTGTATCCAAACCCTCCCTTTTTGCAGGGTCCCCCTACAGATCATAAGCACGTCATCTCTCCAAATAATGAGAACATCAAGTCCTCTGTCTGTCCTTGACCTAGTCTCCCTTCCACCCAAGCTCCTCCCGGTCACACCCTCTGAGAGTGTCTGCATGGACTGCCTCCAGATCCCCTCTTCCCATCCACTCTCTTTTGGTTTTAATTTTTAACCAAATTATGTTATATGCATAGTTTAAAGAGTCAAATATTTTTTACAAGATTTGTTACAGAAATACCAGTCTCCAGCCCCCTCTGCCACCATATCCTCAGCCTCACAGAAAATAACTTTCAATTGTTTTAATGTGTTCTGTTGGTATTAACCTCCCATCTCTAAATAACATGTTTGTGTTGCTACATCTAGATTTTTCAGCTTTAGGCTTTATCTCTTTACCTCCTGCTGTGGGAGAGGGGGATTTAGATTTTTTTTATCCTCAAACAACATCATGCACCCTCCCCATGCCCCTTCTTTTAATATGAGTATATTGTAATTTTTACAACATAGTAAAAATTACTATGCTTACTATGTTTATATCAGTATGACCATGTAATGGCAAACCATAGAGCAAACCATGCTTGCTCTTCCTTTTCTAGGTGACTTTGTTTTCTCTGGAGTGTGTAATTGTCCTGTTTTCCTTTGCGTGGCTGTATTTGTACTTATTATTAATGAATCACAAAATTCCTTGCAGTACAATCAAACATGTCAGGTATTCTGTCAATTTTACCATCAGATGTAACTCTCCCAGAATCTTCTGTCTGCTCCAGTCTTAACTCTTTGCCCTTGATGATACAGCATTCACTCTGAGATCACCCTTTGCCATCCGCATCAGGATTTACCTGTCCTCCGAGTTGGATCTTCTGTTTCTTGTATCCAGTCATTGCCCCTTTGTGGTCTGCCTTATTTTAATGAGGCACCTCTTCTTTCCACTTCCTGAGAAACAGTGCATATGAGGAAAACTTTGTATGCTTCGTATGTCCGAAAATGTATTTATTGTACTCTCAAACTTGAATAATAGCTTGCATGGGTATAAAATTCAAGATTGGAAATCATTTCCATCAGAATTTTTAAGGCATTTCTCTTTTTTTTTTTTTTTTTTTTTTTGAGATGGAGTCTCGCTGTGTCGCCCAGGCTGGAGTGCAGTGGCCGGATCTCAGCTCACTGCAAGCTCCGCCTCCCGGGTTTACGCCATTCTCCTGCCTCAGCCTCCCGAGTAGCTGGGACTACAGGCGCCGCCACCACGCCCGGTTAGTTTTTTGTATTTTTTAGTAGAGACGGGGTTTCACCATATTAGCCAGGATGGTCTCGATCTTCTGACCTCGTGATCCGCCCGTCTCGGCCTCCCAAAGTGCTGGGATTACAGGCTTGAGCCACCGCACCCGGCCCAAGGCATTTCTCTATAATCCCTTAGCTTCCTGTGTTATTGTTGATAAGCCAAAAGATATTGTGTCATGAAACTTTGTACGTAATCATTGTTGTTTTTTTCTCTCTGGAAGCTTATAGGATTTCTGCTTTTTCCTTTCCTCCTTTAAATTCTTATAGGTGCTCCATAACCTACAAGGTGAAGATCCTTCTCAAACTGTCTGCAGTGTACTGTTTTAACCATATTTCTTTTCTTTTCTTTTCTTTTTTTTGAGATAGAGTCTCGCTCTGTTACCCAAGCTGGAGTGCAGTGGTGTAATCTTAGCTCACTGCAACCTCTGTCTCCCAGATTCAAGCAATTCTCCTGCCTCACCCTCCTGAGTAGCTGGAATTATAGGCACCCGCCACCACGCCTGGCTAATTTTTTTTATTTTTAGTAGAGACGGGGTTTCACCCTGTTGGCCAGGCTGGTCTCGAACTTCTGACCTCAGGTGATCCACCTGCCTTGGCCTCCCAAAGTGCTGGGATTACAGGCATGAGCCACCAAGCCTGGGCTATTTTAACCATATTTATAATAGCGCCTCCTGAAAATGGTCAATGCCTAAGTCACAGAAAATTGTTGTTGCATGTTTACTCCTCCCTGCCTTTGCACAAACTATTATCTGTGCTGGACCTGCCTTCCTCCACCAACCAGTCAAAATTCTACCTGGCCTTCCAGGATCCAGATTAAATGTCACCTCTTCTGTGAAGCATTTCCAATCCCAGCCCCCAATATGCTGGCCACCAACTCCCTTCAGTACTACCACATTCCGCCCTTTGTCAGTTGACTGTGTATGAATTTGCCTTTGCCACTAACTGCTCCTCTAAAGCAAGAGAAGTCTGTGTCTTACAGATCCAACACCCAGAACATAATGGGCATTGAAACACTGTAGAATTCTATTTAATTCAATTTTGTTTGCTTCAAATCCAGCCTGATCTGACTGTCTGCGGCTGGTTTTAATAACATTGGCTACTGTTTACCCAACACATGCAATGTGCCCAGCCTTAATGCTTTTCACATGTAGTGGATTTGAATCTTGGTCCAAAAGATTAATAAGATAGTGCACAGAATGCAAAAAATAGTAAACGTCTTTAAATAATCAAAAATCTGATTCAAAACCTGCTGTTTAAAAAATCTTAAATCTGATTCAAAACCCCTGCCACGAGGCTGGTTTTAAATTCAATCTGTCATTATTGGGGCTTCTTGTCTCTTACAGTTGTTCCAAGGGTCTGCGCCCTGATACAGTGCTGAGGCCTTGGAGAAGCCCCTGTTGTCTTCCAGCATCTGTCCAGACTGTTTACTCCAAGTATGCCCAGGGCTTAACCTGTATGGTCTTTTCAAGTGGCAGCTCTGCTGCTTCTGCACCAGGCTTGGGGCAGGGGAATCTTTAGTGAGGAGTGATCCCCAGTGCCTGGGAGCAGGACTGCAAAGACGCACCACAGGGCCAACTTCCCCCTCCCTGGGAGGCCTCCCCACCTGCCTTGGCTGCTGCGAGGAAGCAGGGCTCTTTCAGACCCACAGGCCACTGTGCCTTCCTCAGTTTAGGAGAACCTTCCCCCTTTGCCTGTCAAAGGCATTCCCCTCTCTCTCTCTGGCACAGTGTCTGGGACACCTGGCATCATGTTAAGTGAGCTTCAGGTTTTGGGAAGTCCAAAGCCAGAAGAGGAAGGGCCTTGGAGGTGACATGTGCTATTGTCTTGTGTGACAAACCTAAATACAAACAAAGAAAAAAGAAAAGCATCATTCTGCCATACATTAATTATTTTATTTCTTCCTTATGACCAATCTGCAAGTTAAGTATAATGATTTCATTTTATAGAGAAGGAACTAGGATTCAAATTACTTGACTTGCCCAAGATCAAACAGCTAGAAGGTGGCTGGAAGGTCTGTGTAATGCTAGAGCCCGTGTTCTTTCCACTGCACTGTCCTACTCAGCAGCGAATGGAGACCAGCTTGTGAGACATGAGGCTGGATGAACAGGGTCAGACATCAGCATTACTAGGAAATGTGTAGGAGGAGGCATTCCCAGCTTTGGTAACAAACTTCTTCTGAGGTTTCAGCAGCAACAGGCTGCAGGGAATGAGGTGAGCTTGAAGAATGACTGGGGTTGGAATTACTGAAGAGATTTTCTACTCCATCCTGGATCAGTCGAAGCACTCCCTTAGTTCAGACTTTCTTTCTTGCTTAGTCTAAATTCCCTGCTGGCTAACAAGACTCTATATGATCTGGCACTGCATGTGTCCTCATCTTTACTTCCCTCCACTCTTCCTTCTTTCATTAAGCAACAGCCACACTATCTTTCCCCAGAATCCTCCTGCCCAAGATGTTAACATTAATGCCTCCAATTCGTCACCCATTCACAACTCATGTGGTACCAATTCAGAGAAGCTTCATTGACCAACTTTGCTAAATAAACCACCTATCTCCAGTCTCTGCCTATCATGTTACCCTATTTATCTCTACAAATAGAAGCCTTTCAGTGAATGATGTCCCACTTCTCGGGCTTTCCTTTCTTCTCTGACCTCAGAAAAGCTTCCAGACGAGTGATCATGCACGCAGAGGAGCGGATTCACTTCCTCTTCTCTCCTTATGATTTAGGAGGTTGCTACCTATGACTTGTAATTTGGCTCCATCTTGTGGTTTGCGTCCACCCCACATGGAGCCTCCAAATCTGAATAAGCCTAAGGTCTCCCAAGGCAGACTCCTTGGCACTTCCCTCCACTGGAAACGTTCTGCTGCCTCCTCCCTAGACTCCCAACACCGCTCTTGAGACCTTGTCAGATTCCCAGTTGCCCTTTATTCCTTTCCTCAGGCCTTCAATATATGGATCTGCTTCATGTACAAGTTCTTACTACAATGCCTGGAACATGGTGGTTACTCAATAAATATTTAAAGCCCCAGCTGACTAAAACAAAATGCAGTCACCCTGCTCTCAAATTCCTTGATGACATGTCCACATAAAGAAAAATAAATTAAAATTTGTTCTTCCGATATTAACAAGTATTGTTTTGTTAATACTGTTATCTTTCATTTATTGAGCACTTCCAATGTGCCAAACACTAGTCTAACCAACTGATATTTGTCAAATCCAGTATCTCCACATTCACTAAGAAGCACATCTGGTATTTCCTAAACTGTTGCATGAAACCCAAGTGTTTAGGAGAGTGTTAATAACCTAACCAAAAACAAATCAATAGAAGTAATATTTTTCTGTTAAAACATATTTTAATGCATGTAAGGAAATGCCAAACTTAAATATGTATCTTTTTGTTTTGTTTTGTTTTGTTTTGTTTTGTTTTTGA